ATATAATATATTGTGAGGGCAAACAGAAGTGCAATATAAGTAATTTTTTATAGTCTTTTAAGTGAGACACTGTTTTTATCTGGAGAATCGCAGCTAAATCTCATTGCACAATGTTTCATTGTTACAATGACTATATAAATTCTATTCTATTCTATTTTATTCTATTCTATTCTATTCTATTCTATTCTATTCTATTCTATTCTATTCTGACCAACATCCTTTGCTCTTTTTAGTGACAAATTTTGTCATAAATCCTGAGTATAAATATATCCATAATCCTGAGACATAACTGCTAAAAGAATCAAAACCTCCGTTTTCTGTCTGACATTTTTTATTGCTAAAATCAGTTGCTGTAGGTCTTAAAACATCATATAAATCTGCTGGTACAAAACTCTTGACTCCTGATAACATCAAGTAGAAATCTCCCAATTACACAATAATTAACTTGTTAGCACAAGCGTCTCGGGATGCTGATAACTAACTCGTGATCTCAAGATAAAGCACTAAAGTAAAGCCAAAAAGATCTTTTTAGTTTTTGTAAATGATTCACACTTGTGTTATCTAGAAGATTTTAGACATGACATGAAGGTAAAACACAATATTTTGAGAAGTGCTTAAGTTAAACAGGTTGAACATGTACCTTGATGTGGCCCTCTTTAACTTCTCCATACCGCACATGCTTCCTAAGGTGGTTGCAGATCGCTCGGAGGGTTTGGTGTATCTCGGAACAGAAGTTGCACCTGAATCCTACAGGGGTGTTATCTGTAATGCTTGCCTGAAGGTGACACAAACAAACACAAATAAAATTGGTTTTATTCACTTCTTTTTTGTCCTGTAAGTGTTTAGTTTACACATTTTCAAAGAGAGAACATTCACCTTCTCAGTTTTATTCTCTGGAAGTTCTTCAGTCTTCTGCTTGCTGTCAAGCTGCTTCCTCTTCTCATGCTTCATGGCCCTCTTCTCAAACTCCTCATTGTGACTGAGAAGGTGTGTTGCTAGAGCAGGGAGATACACAAACTTCAACTCACAGTGAGAACACTGGTAGGACTCAGTCTCTTCATCCTCAGGATCAGATGATACTAAAAAGTCCCTCTTCAGGTCTGTGCTGTGGTGGTCGTTGTAGTGCATAGATAACAGCTGTCCTGTATTAAAAGACAGTCGGAAGCATTTCAGACACTTGAACGGCAACCAGTCGGTGTCGCTGTCCTGTTCTGACTCAAGCAGAACACCTGCTGCTTCCTTGTCCTCCTCCTCCTCCAAAGCCTTCTCTGGCTCTTTGGCATATATAACAGTGAAGTAACGACCAAGTTTGCTAGAGTGCTGCTTCTTAGGGAAGACACCTGGGTGGCGTTTAATGTAGTGTGAGACGATGCTCTTCCTGCTGACGGCCAGGAAGCGACAAAGATTACACCGCCGCCGCTCCACGGCCAAGCGTAGGTCTTCGCTCATTTCCGAACTCTCCGCTTCCAACGGCGGCTGTGCCAGAACTTTGGCAGGCTTCTCACTTATAGTCTTGGAGGCAGCCAGACAGTGAGTATAATAGGCATCGATATCGTGTCGCTTCTGGTAGTGAGCTGCCAGGCCTTTGCGAATAGGGTTTGTGTAAGCGCACAGGGCGCATTTGAAGACGTTATTTTTACCTTCTGGCTGAGCGCGCACATTATTGTGCTTGATACGGTAGTGGCGAGCGATGCCTTTCCTTGTGGAGCAGAAATACTTACAAAGCTGACACTTGAACACAGCATGTTTCTCTGTCTTATTGATGGGTAACTGAGAGAGGGCATAGTCCAGTTCACTCACCTCCTGGACTTGCGCCGTGCTTGACATGTTACTAGCACTGCATTCGGCTACTGGCTCCATTTCCCTTCCGGAAGAAAAATTGGTCAGAGATGGCGAGAACATATCAGAGGCAGACTGATTGTGATATTTTTCATAATGGACTTTGAGTTTCTCCAGTGTCCCATGCGTATACGGACACATTTTGCACCTATATGCACCATAGCCTTGTCTTTGAGTTTTGAACTTGTCATCTCCTTCGTGCAACTCTGTAATCTGCTCCACGTCGTCTGCAAAGTCTTCTGCCGTGACTTTCACCAGCGGGTGTCGTTTCTGGTAGTGAGTTAGGACTCCATGAATGCGGGAGTTCACGTATGGACAATGACGACATTTGTACACAGAGCTGGGATTGATGTCCGCCTCCTGTGCGAAATCTGCAGCTTTTACTTTCATACCTGGGTGTTTCTTGCCATAGTGAGTGAGGAGACCATGGAGACTGTTGTACTCTGACAGACAAACAGTGCACTGATAAGGATTATTAGAAATGGAAAGGCGTGGATGAGAAGAGTGAAGATTGCTTTCTTGAGGTGGGGTAGCGATGACTAGCGCTCCATCATCAGACTGGCAATTGAGAGATGCGTGTTCATTGGCAATCTGCTGGTGGATGCTTTCAACTGAGCCATTTCCTTTGATGATATCCAAAAGCACAGATTCATCCTCTTTAATAGCCCAAGGGTGGACAGCCTGATAGTGACTAGTAATGTCCCATATGGTGCAAGCCTCAAAGGCACAGTCTCTACATTTGTAATGTTTAGTTTCCATATTTCCACCCTGTTGAGTGGTTTCAGGCCCTGCCCACAGCTTGCTGGCCATGTACGCATAATCAACATTATGCTCAGGGTGGCGTCTTTGGTAGTGAAGAAACAGACCCTGGGGATCAGAATGAGAGTAAATGCACCACTCACAGTGATAGCCTGCCTCCAAGATGCCATCCTGGTAAGCCCAGTGTAAAATGGTCATGGCTGTGGCTTTCACAGTAGGGTGCTCTTTCTTTAGATGCTTCTTTAGAGCATAGACATAAGGAGTTGTAAAAGAACAGTGTCTGCACTTAAGGGACCGCAAAGGCATGGCATTTTCAGAGTCTGGAGGAGCTGAGAGTGCTGCAGAAGAAACGTTGCCTGACTGGACCATCTGTGCTCGCTCACGCTGACTCCGAACAACTGCAGTGTGGCGACGCACAAGGTCAGCATTGGCCTTGGTTTCTCTGTGCTTTTTCTGGTAGTGGATAAGCACTCCTTTTACAGTACGGTTGCCATAATCACATTGTTGGCAAAAAAACAGCTCGTCCTCTCCTTTCTCACCACCCCCTTTAGGAACTGAGTTTTTAGAGCCCTCATGCCCATTATTCTGAAACTGCTTCAAAAACTGTTTGGGGGTTGCAATTTGCAGTTCATCCATTAATTTCATTAAGCCAGGAGTGGGAGGGCCATGTTTTATATATTTAGCTGTCACTTTCACTTCTGGGTGTCTTTTTTGATAATGGACCAACACACCAACAACAGATCTGTTGCTGTACACACAGTGTTTACAATAGAACATGTCTTCATCTGATCCATATGCTGCAGCATTTGATTGCTTTGGAGTGGAAGTAGACATGCCAGGGCTGAAGGAAGAGTTGGCTGCAGGCTGTGACTGATCAACTGAAATCACTTTCATGGATTTCTGTATGCGGAAATAAGATGCCTTCTGCTCCGGATGTTTTTTCTGGTAGTGGACCAACACAGAGTGCATGTTGGGGCTAGCAAAAGAACAAACATCACAGTCATAGACCACCACATTACCACTCACAGTTTCTTTGAAAGGTTCTGCCTCGGCACTAGTTTCAGGGGACTTGGGGACAGCTTTCAGGACCGGACTCGAGGAAGACCTGGCCATTGAACTGGATGGGGTAAAATTCTTGGGGCCAGAATTTAATATTTCCCTCAGAGTTTGTGACTCACTGGTTTTATGAGTCTGTTCTACTATATAGCTAGAGAAGATCATGGCATTATTGATCTTCACAGTGGGGTGCATTCTTTGGTAATGAGGCATCAGGCTCCTGACATTGGGGCTCGTGTATGAACAAAAGCGGCACATGTATAGCAGATGTGGTTGATTGAAGTTGAGAACATTACTTGCTTCAGGATGGTGATCCATGTAGTGTTGGTGTAAATCGTTGTAGTTTGTGTACTCGATATAGCACTCCAAACAGCGGAAAACTGCACTCTGGTCTTCTGGATCCAGGATGTACTTAAAGCTGAACTTAATGTAAGGATGCATCCTCTGGTAGTGGGTGCTGACGCTTCGAGCTGATTTGTTGTGGTAATCACAGTGTTTACAGTAGAAACGGATCATTCCAGCATCGTCCGAATAGTCCATGTTCTCTTGGGCAATGCTGTCACCGATTTCGCCTGAAATATTTTCACTATCGTCTGAGAGAGTAAGAGATATAGGAATGCTCCTGTGCTTTGACTTAGGGTTGCTTTTTCTTTTCCCAATCCTTCCTTCATGACTGATCACTGAATCTCTACGAGACTGCTGTGTGTTGTAAGCAAAGATGGGATTAATGTCATGGTTTCCACTCTCATCAGCACCAGCAGTACTTTCTTGAGCGTCTTCATCATCTATGTCATCCAAATTTATAATCATGTCCTGCTGGCTTTGGCTTATCTTACTTTGAAGGTTACTGGCTATTTCATCAATTCTAGTTCTCTTCTTAACTGAAGACAAATCCAAAGGCAAGTCATTAATAGACTTCCTGGCTCTTTTCCCCGTAACAAAGGGTTTTTTGGTGGCAAGTCCTAAAATGGGTGTCTGGGTTTTCTGTAAAAACACTGGAGCAGCTTCCACTTCAGAATCTGGCTGGTCAGTCAGCTGGCTTTCAAAGACAGTAGAATCTAGGTCGTCACAGTAGGAATGCTTGTGCTGCTGGTGGACCCTCAGTCCTTTCAGCGTGGTGGTAGAGAAACTGCAGAGTGTGCAGCGATGAGGGTTCTGCTGGTCGTTCAATGTGCTGGTTGTCTTTTTTCCATTTGCCCTGGAGCTAACGTTTCCCCCATTTACGGGCTCTGTGGCACTGTCATTCTGAGGTTCAGGACTATCACCTGTCAGGTCCAGCATATCTAAATCTGTGGGGTTGTGGTTCTGCTTGTGTGTTCCTAGCTTCAGAGGGCTGGTGCAAATGAACGGGCATTCATCACATTTATATACTGTGGTTTTGCCAGAGAGGTGAATGTTTTCAATGTGGCGAGAAATGCTCCGCCTGTGCATGGTGAGGAAAGAGCAGAAGGGGCACTGAAACCGGTTCATGTACTTTCTGAAGGGTATGCCTTTAGTTTCCAGTAATTTATTATCAACATCAGTTAATAGCTGCTTTGCATCTGCAGAAAGAGTCCCAGTGTAATTGGGATCATCTATATCCCCCAATTCCTCCTCGTCATCGTCATCCTCTAAGCTGCTCCTTGAGTCATCGTCATTGATTGCACCAGCATCCATATCTGTGACACTGTTGGAAACATCACATGAGGCAAACCTCTTTGATAAAATAGAAGAACCTGTGCTGTTTGGTGTGACTGCACTGATCTGTGCGTACTGAAGAGAAGAAATGTCAGTGACTGACTTTTCCAAGGTGTCCTCTGGTGTTTTCTCCACCAAATCCTCCTTTGCAGTTGGGCTTTGGGAAGATGCACAAGAATCTGCTTTGGGTGAGCTGGCACTTGCCTCCCCATCTAGTTTTTCAGGACTAGAAAGGATCTTGACCTTATCACTGTGCTCTTTTACCATATGATTAGTCCAGCTGTCTTTCTGGTCAGTCTGAAAGTCACACCACTCACAGAGAAATCTTTCTTTCGCATCAGATTCCTCCTCACTCTCAATGTTCTTTGACGCGTCTGCAGCGCTATCGGAAGGGACTTTGTTGTGATACATCAGTTGGTGTTTCCGTATCCTTGCTTTGCGGGGAGATGTGTATGTGCAATACTGACAGGAAAACACTTTTGAGTGATCGTTGTGCATTATTACAGTGTAGCTGGGCTGCTTTGAGGTCTCCGAAGTGACACTTGCGTCCGAATCTTCCTCTGTGATATTATGCACCTTTTTGGTGTGGTTTCTTAGGAACAACTTTGATCTAAAGTAACGGACGCAGAACTTGCACTGGTAAAACTGAAGCAGGGTTTCAGCAGTCTGCTTTTGTGATGTTTGATTGGGGCCATCAGTAGAGTTGGGGCCTAAAAGAGAAAATATACAGAATAGGTTTTATTAAATATAAAATAATATGCATTTTGTTCATAATATTTGAATACTTTTTCACATGAGTACACGAGCACTTAGTGATGATAAATGGAGACATTATCCTTAATTCTAAGCAAAACAACAGCAACATCTGATTATTGTGGTAAGCATACTTGTTCCAGCTTTAGCAGGCGCGTAATCCTTCTCCTTATCCTCATTCTGCTCTTCTTCCTCCTCCTCATCATCATCGTCTCTCAGAGAGTCAGACTCATCTGCATCTGAAGGCTGCAGGAAAGCAGTGTGCACTTCCTGAATGTGGGTCTTCAAGTCATCGTATGACTCTGCACGGAAGTCACAGCCGTCACACTGCAATACCTCCATCACTGCAAAGGGTTTGACCTCCCTGGAAAATCAGGGAAACCTGCAAAGAAAAAGAGAGGAATCATTAGTACATGTTAGATGTTTTAAAAATGTCCTGTTGGTTTCTTTGTTGAATACAGATTTTATAGCAATAAATTTTATAATCTTGGATGACTGCTGAGTGAGAATGAATAATCAAGTGCTAATGTTGACGCTTTTGAGTAGTAAGTAAGACAACCTACCAAAAATAAATAAATAAATAAATAAATAAAACATAATCTTTATACGTTTTTATCATATGACGTGAAAAGATGTTCTAAAGCATGACAATCTTTAATTTTTTACCATGCAGGTCGTGAAAAAGAGACAATGAAATGAAAATTCAATGTTTTTATTGTGATACAACCCTTAAAGTGATAATTCAAAGCTTTACAAGTCAGGTTCTGTGGAAAGGTTTTTAACACATACTGTAGCATCTTACCTGTTTTTGATACCTCTTTAAATGACTTCAGCTTTGGAAAACAAGTTTAATAGACCTACTTCACTGCAGACATTTTCACAGTAAAACAGACTTCTATTTCTGTATATGATGATAGTTCTGTAAAAACTGCTTGGACGCAGAACTTCCTCTAAACAGAAAGCAGCAGATAGGCTTTCCTTACTCTTTCAAGTCAAAATGTCTGCTGTGAAATAGTGTATTTCTGATGAACCTACGAATAATCAGAGTAAGGCCAAGACCAAAGTGGAGTTCTTCCACCTTAAAACAGATTATGTACAAATAACTGTAAGGCTATTTGAGAGAGCAAACAGCAGCTAGCTGTAGCATTCAGTGCAACCTGGAACACTTTTTAAAAGACTGTTTAATACTTCTGCCAAAAAACAAGTGTAATGAAAAATTTATGTCAGTGAATAACGATTTATAAAACAGTGTTTGCATACAGTTATCAAATTTTTGAGACAGGTTATTTTTCAGACGGTAGCAATCATTTTGGTCTTGGCTCAGCCCAGACTAGCTGTTAGCTCAGACTAGCTGCTAGCTGGTTAATCTGGTCAGAATTAAACTGTATTTCTCCAAAGTGAGATTCTTCAAATTGCAATTGGTAAAATATTATTGTTCATAACATTTCCACAGAATCCACCTTAAAAAAATCTGAACTATCCCTTGAATAACTTAATTTAAAAGATACCTTTAAACATTTTTTCCATAAAAAATGCAAAAAAAATTATTTAGAGGTATTCTATCAAATATACGAAACTACATATATAAAAAAACAAAGGTTCTATTATGACAACAATTCTTTAATTGAACAAACCTCCTCAGAATAAACTGTCAAATGTGTATTTTGGTAGCTAAAATGTCCATCTTGTTCTTGAACTCTGATACCCCAACATGACACAGAAGAGAATGATTCAACAGATGCTGCAGGTTCAGTTTTTTTAACAATGCATTATTCCAAGAACAATGGAGAGACTGAGGAGGGATTATGGCTTGATTTGTCCCATTTTTTTTACCTTGGGATAAGCAACAGCTGGAGAGCAGCCTCACAGCTCGGTATTTAGAGCAGACTATTCCATCTGATTGCATTAACTGCTCTGAAGATTGAATAAACCAACTAAGAAATGAAGGTTTTGAGTGTCTCTCTTATTCATAGAAGCACAGAAATCTACAAGCTGCTGGTGTGACTTTCTTCTCAAAGCACCTTTCATTTTGTTTTCACTACAGAAGAACTTGAAGCTCACACTAACTGTTGAATACAAAGTTAAAGGGCACCACTCACAACCTGAACTCACAAATCAAAACCCATTCATTTTTGGGGCCAATGAACAAGCAAATTAAAGACAATTTTCTAACAACCTGATTTGAAGTGACAGCTTTAAGTCTAGGCTAACTAATTTGATTTTAGGAACGTAAAATAAGCTGTGGGAGCAGGGTGAGGGGTAGAAATTATAAATTGTCTTTTGCAAAATGAGCTCTCATCTGTTGGAAATAGCTCAAATAATGAATCCAACGCAGAGGGTTTTCTATGCATATTAAATTCTCCTACAACTACCAAGAGAACCCATCCCTTTTCTGCAATCAGAAATAGTGCAGGTATAAAGGGTACTTGTGCACAGGCTTCAATTTCCAGAGTTGGAGGCATCATCCATCTTTTCTATACATCTGAAGTACTGAAAGCACTCCATGACTGAGAGAAAACAGACAGGAGTCACTTTTGGTGGGAAAAAAACTGCTCCAAGTTATCAAAAAAGTTTTGAAGTGGTAGAAAAGAAATGATAGTACAGCAAGGATGTAGAGATGAAACCAAACTCACAGCCTCAACATAAAATCAGTCATTTTGCAAATATGCTCTGACAGATATTGTGCTGCTAAGTGGCTACACTTACCGAAAGTATGTTTAATCTAAAACGAGCGACATTTGATGAAGACATCTCAAAATAAAGGATAAAGTTTGTGTGGCCAAAGAAACACAAGTTGAAACGTTCAGTTCAGCTTTCCTCCCCTAATGTCTAAAAAAATGCAGGTAGGGCCAAGAACTAATTTCTTTAATTAACTAAAGCCACTCTAAGATAACCATAAACCTGTTTACAGACAGGTGAATCTTAGAGAGGGATTGGGTTATTGATACCTGACTTCAGAGCATTCAAACATTCGCTTTAAATAAAAATTAAATGTGCACTGCCATTTGAAATTATCTGCCATATTCAAGGTTTAAATCGAAAGTGACCAAATTTGTCTTGTCTGAACAAAGTCGGCTTTGAATTTACCTCAGACACAAACACGCACATGTTGCACCTCTATATTTTCATGGGGAATTCGCATTGACCTATATTTATTTTTCTTTAATTTCTACAATCTAATCCTTACCCTAAATTTAAGCCTAATCCTAACACCCACTCAATTCACGCCTTACACCTACCCCTAACGCAAAAACTGCATTTGAACTTATGGGGCCCAGGGTTTGGCTCCATGAGGGGCAGTGGGTCCTCACAAGTCAGTATATTTTGCAAAAATAGGCCTTACAAGGTAACAAACGCAAACACACACATATTCATTCAGCAAACATGTGACTATGCACTTTGGAATTAATAATTATTAAAATGTCCAGGACAGAAACCTAAGAATAAAACAGTTTCAAGGATAGTACTAAGGTTTTATCAAAAAATAAAAAACAAGTAAATATATAAAAATATATATATAAGAAGTAATAAGTAGAAAATCATAGACTCATGTTCTACACTGGAAACAAAGAGCCAACTTTCTAAGAATGTTATTACAAAGAATTAATTTGGTTGCTCCATTAGTCAAAGACCAAAAGGTTTGCATGCCTTCAAAGAGCATAAAAGACTCAGTGAAGGCTGCCACTTGATTATTTATTGTTCTTTTTGAAAATAAATCCATAGTGTTTTATGTATAATACATGACAATGTAACTAAATCTAGTCTTACTTTTATTTAAATGTATTTCAGGTTTAATCTTGCTGAAATCACAAGATGAGGCTGTGCAACAGTACATTTTGAAAAAAAAAATACATTAAAGCCAAGTAACCTTTACAAAGCAGCAACATGAGTGGAACTCTTTGTGTTTCATTCACTACATACAGTATCACATTCATTTTAAGACGCAAAGAAAACACCTCTGACAATATAGATGTAAATATTATGTTTAAGTCAACTAATATTCTAAAGTAGTTAAATGAAATTTGCAGTTGTGTTCTTTAAATACTGAGGCTTTTATTTTCTCCAGACAGACATTTGTAGTATTTAAACCATAAGCTGTGTGTATTTTACACATCACTTCGATAGTTTAAAAGGATTATTGTTCTCTATCAGTCGTTCTTAACTTGGGTTCGATGAGCCGGTCTCAGGGGTTCGGCAGAGCCTCTGCCACGGAGGTAAAGACACACTTGTGTAAAGTCGTGATGACACTCCCCGCTTGGCCATCACTTGCTGCAGAGGATCACGTGAGATTGCTTGGCCAACCAATGCTGGCCCCAAAAAAGTATTTTGTGGATTCAAAACGACAAAAAACTAATTAACTTAACAGAACAAAATACTGTAATTTGTTGTGAGTTCATGCACTGTGTTGGTTTTGTTCTTTAAGCAAGGTGATGTTCATGCATGGCTCATTTTATACACCAGTAAAAAAAACATACCTATGTCTTGAATTTGGAAAAAAAAAATCATATTTTATTTATCACTAAAAAGGATTCGGTGAATGCGCATACGAAACTGGTGGGTTCGGTACCTCAAGAAAGGTTAAGAACCACTGTTCTATATAAAGGAAGCATGGAACCCTCACTCTCAACTATGACCTCTACATGAGCCCCAACAGGGTGGGCAGAGATTAGTCTATGCCAGGGGTGTTCCATCCTCGTCCTCGAGGGTCACTATACAGCATGGTTTACATGTTTTTCTGCTCCAACACACCTGATTTGAATGAACAGGTGATTAAAAGGCTTCTGTAGAACTTGAAAAGGTAATTCAGTCACTAAATCAGGTGTGCTGGCGCAAGGAAATAAGTAAAACATGTAGGGTATATGGCCTCTAAGGACCAGGATTGGACACTCTGGACTATACTGTACCTGCATCTGTGCAACATTTGGAAATTTAAAAATTTTTTTTAAAGAAACAAAAATACAGATTGTCAAATATAATGAGAACATGTTATTTTGTTGAATCCACGTCACTGTTTTGGTTTGGTTCTTATTGTTCATGGACTGTATACCAAGGCTGTGTATTGGCAAGATATGATACACATCACGACACAGGGGTATGGTATATCGTTATGTATTGTGATACTGTAAGAAAGGTGATACATTTTCATCAGAAGAACACTGAACAACAGTAAGAACTGTGTTTGTATTTCACATTTCTTCTCACAACATCCATCCATTAAGCCTTAATTAAAAATCGATACAGGGCTTTTGAGAATCGATTCAGTGTCAGGAAAGGAAATATTCTGATATTTCAATGTATCAATATTTTTCTTATACCTCTATTGCAGGGATAGGCAATCCTGGTCCTCGAGTGCCACTGTCCTGCATGTTTTACATGTTTCTC